TACACTTTAAAGTGGATATTGCAATAACTTAAGACTTCTTAGGCTAGTGAGATGGAATTATTATATTTTGCATGTGAGAAAGACATAAATTTGGGGGGTCAGAGGCAGAATGTTATGATTTGAATGTGTTACCCCAAATTCTTGAGCCCCAGTGTGGGGGTGTTTGGAGGTAAGCCTTTGTGGGAGGTGGTTAGGTCATGGGGACTCTACCCCCAAGAATGGATTAATGCTGTTGTGAAAGAGCTTGTGGGAGTGGGTTCTCTCTTCTGCTCTTCTATCATATGAAGATACAGCATTTGTCCTCTTTTCTCCCTTCCACTTTCTGCCATGTTAAGATGCAACAAGAAGGCCCTCATGAGATGCCAGCACCTTGATCTTGGACTTCCCACCCCCCAGACTGTGAGAAATACATTTCCATTCTTCATAAACTAACCAGTCTCAGGTATCCTCTTATAGCAGCACAAACAGACTAAATCAGTAGTCAAAAAGCTTAGTGTCAGCCCTGTGATGAGAGCAAAAGAATTAAGAAAGAAACAAATGGGGCAAAATGAATTAAAATTGCACAGATCATGAGAAAAATCTATGGGAGAGAGCCACAGACTTGCATGACTGCCATTTTCCTGCTATGGGTATTGTATTTAAATAGGGGTGATGAAAGTGAGAATAGAGGGAATTAATACTCTCATAGTGATGCTAATTGAGATCCACTGAGGGAGAATGTATGTATATAGAGATTAAGGTATGAGTGTTAGGAAGATTTAAGTCTTTGATATATAAAGTGGCCAATTTCATGATTACCACTGATTACTTAATACTCTCATAGTGATGCTAATTGAGATCCACTGAGGGAGAATGTATGTATATAGAGATTAAGGTATGAATGTTAGGAAGATTTAAGTCTTTGATATATAAAGTGGCCAATTTCATGATTACCACTGATTACAGCAAATTTCCAAGAAATCAGGTAGTCTGAGCCAGTTCTGAAAGCTCCACTTATGCAGTGAAATGCCAGGAAAAATCAACAAAGAGATTAAGATAAATGGCAACTGATCAGAATGAGAGGAAGTATAAAGTAGTTCAGAGAATTTTAAAATCCTTAAATATTTTTCTCTGAGACAGTATTTCATTTTTTGTAATGTTAATAATCATTCAGTATTTAGTAAGTAATTATTAACTTCCTATTATGTATATGATAATAGGAATAGAGCTGCTGATTACAGCTTTGAAGCAAACAGGAAACCTTTTAAAAGGTTTTAGTTTTATTATAGGAGATAAAATACTCAAGTATTGCAACAAACAATATCACAAGTGGCATGAAAAATTACTTAAAAATTTATGGGATCTTAAAAGTAGAAGAAATCACATGTGATTACTATACTCAGGGAACCACCTTATGAAAATTACATCACATCTGGGCTTGAAGAATAATATGGGAAAATACTTTTTTATTTCAAAGCAGCATATACACAAATACAAATTAATGTGATTGTTTATATCCATTAGTAATTGTAGACTAGTAGTGCCCTTTCTGTTGACGGGGCTGTATGAAGCTATTGCAGAGGTCCTGACCATTATAATCTCATTGAGCCTTGTTCGTTTATGTGATTGAATTCATCTTGCACATGCTTGACCAGTTTTTCAGCATGTGTGAATTTTTTCCCATATGAAAAATTAATGAATACTTATGTCATAGAACTATACAAATTAAACTATCAAACTATACATAATGTCTGATGTATCATAAACCTTACACAAATATTATCCATATATTACAACTAAAAATAAAAATACTGCTTAACTTGGAGTATCTTTTTGTAACTGTGTATGATTATATTAAAGTAAACTAAAAGTTCGTCCTTGATTGTGTGTGTCCACCTTTTTTGTATCCTGGGGGTGGTTCTTAATGCAAATATTGGCATCTACCAGAGGGTGGAAACTGATGCAATCCAGTGACAACTAATCCTGAATATGCCTCCCAATAAGGAAAGTCACCTCAGAGATTTTGATAGCACTAATGAAAAGAAATGAGTGAGAATGGCTTTTCAGGAGAAGAGAGTGATACTTATAATTTTTCAAGGGTAAGAATTTGCAACCTATATAAGACAAAGTGGCATTTTCTGGATGCCAGACAGATGTCCTTGCACCTCCTTCATGGAGGCTCAGCCTCCAGTACCCCCACTGGTTGGCGATTTCCCTATAATCAGACACACACATACACACACGCACACTCGCTTGCTCATAGTAATGGCAGTATTATTGCCAGAGGACAGAAATGGCAACCCCCCCCCGCCAACATACCTGAAAATGTGATATTGAAGCCTTCGTAGGAAATTGAAAAGTCTGATATAAAGCGAAGCTGGGCGGTAAAGTTTCCAAACAAACCTGCCTTAATAGTATGAGGTAATACCGACCCAGTGAGCCTGGCAACGGGCTCGGAAAAACTTCCATCCTCCGTAATGAGTAAGTAGTCATGAGAGCTCTCGAGGTGGAAAGTGTGAAAGATCATCTGAACTCCTGATGCCTTAATAGTATGAGGTAATACCGACCCAGTGAGCCTGGCAACGGGCTCGGAAAAACTTCCATCCTCCGTGATGAGTAAGTAGTCATGAGAGCTCTCGAGGTGGAAAGTGTGAAAGATCATCTGAACTCCTGAAAAACAGAAAGAAAGAAAGAGAGAGAGAGGGAGAGATGGAGAGACATAGAGATGGAGACAAAAGAGGGACAGGGAGGGAGACAGATAGGAACAGAGACAGACATAGAGAAAGACAGGTGAGAGACAGACATAGAAAAGATAGAGTAGAGCAGGGGTGATAGAGAGATGATAGACAGAGGTAGTTGAAAGACGGATGAAAGAGAGAGAGAGATGTCAGTAGAGTTAACAGTTGCTGTAAAATAACCTATCGTGGACTTAGCGACATTAAAGTCTTGAATCAAAACATTAAAATATTTTCTTAATATGTGAACCTAACTTTGAAGTTTGAGAGAAAAATGGGTAGAAAGAGTGTTGCTTTAGAAATAAACAGAAGAGGGAATAAACAAAAATAAATAAATTCGTAAGTATAGATAAGTACACATATAGGTGTAGATATGAATATAAATGCAGATGTGGATATAAGTGAAGATGTGGACACAAATGTAGATGTAAATAGAGATGTAGATGTAGATATAGGTGTAAATATGGATATATAAGAAAAACAGGTCAGGATGTCTACGTGGATTGCATCCAGGAACGGTTACTGTGCCCTTAGAGAAAACACTTGTCCTAGATGGACAAATGACAATGTAACTTTCCCATTAACACTAAACGAGTGTTCTTTAGAAAATCATGGCCTGGAGGTCTAGTATATAAATTTACAAAACTGAGAAAAAGTTCCTTGAAATCAGTTTTATATGCCCCAATGCACCTGTCCTCATAGGGTATTCCCACTATGAGGTTTCTATAGATGGATGAATAAAATTGACTATGCCTAGGTCTCTTTAATAAAAACTCATATATTATGATTACAAAACCTTGGTCGCTCATAATCTGTTACTTCTTTATTCTTTAAATCCTTCAGGACCAAGTTTGTCTTTAATATCCTTTTTACGGCAGCATAGGTAAATTGAACATCAAGTTAAGTTCAAATCGATGTGTAAAGACAGAATATACATAATGTTTATGTTATCAAAATTCCAAATAGACTCAAAAAATGACAAGTTTAGTTAACAAAAAAGACCCAAGGTATGGTTTTAAACTCAATGTTTATAATCTACATTTTCTGCACAAAATGCAAATTTTCCTGGTCTTCACTATGCTTATCTGTAAAATGAGAATAATGATATCTATTCTGTAAGGCATCACTGCATTATGTGAGGATAAATATTTTATTGTGTGTGATAATAATGGGTAAACTTAAAACTCAAGGCAAGTACAAAAATTATCCTAGATCTACCATAGAAATTAGAAGTTTAGATAGCTGCTTCTCATTTCCCTCTATTTAATTACTGTTTACATTTTATTTGATTGATGTCTCTATTCCTATTATACCTAATTTCTAAGTTTATCTTCACACATGTATATCCATTATCTGATAAATGGAGAGCAAAATAAGGAATCTGCCTTTGCTTTTTGTGCCAATAATTTAAAGATCTTTTTTTCTTCCAAAATCTTATTTAAAAGTAAAAATTAACACTTTTGAAATACATATGAGAAAATTAGTTATCATACTTGTTCACACACTAATAGTTTTTTCTTTGTTCCCATGTTTTTTTTTTTCTCATTTATTGTTCTATATATTTGAGATGTATGCCATGTTCTTACCCTTTCCATGAGACACTTCAATGGTCCATGTACAATTCAGAGAATTTGGATAAAAATCTGGAAATCCAGGAGAAAGTACTGTTCCACTCTTCCCATGAATGTAACCTCCACACAGGGCTTAAAATAATAGAGATTATTGTTGTATTAAAGTTTCACAATAATTGTTACAACAAAATACTTTTTAAATGACATGGTATTTGCACAATGACTAAAAGAAGATCTAATGCTATGTCCATGAAAAACCAAACAAAACCTAAACTTTATTTTACTTGCAGTTATAATAGGCCACTTCATATGTAGGTGTCCTAAGCAGTACAAAACCTTGAGAACATACATAGAACAAGGCATAGAAGGTAAACTGGAACTCCCATTAACAAGCAGAAATAATTTTCACTACAAGTCTGTACTCTCTAGGTCTTGGTCTTCTCAGCATCACTTTAGTGTGTTTAAATTCCTTGCAACAAAATATGCCATGGTCAAAACTAACTCAGAGACACATTGTTGATGAAAGGAAAAGGAAGCTGCATACAATCATTTCAACAGGAAAGGACTGACAATTAGGTGTCAACATAATAAGAGAATTTAAGTGCTCAGACTCTGATGTCAGATAATTTTGAGTTCAAATGCCAGCCCTTAGTAGGCCCTAATTTTGCAAACATCAAGGGGAAAATATTGACACCTTCTCACCAACATATTCCTTCTATTTCATATCTTGAGACCTATCAAGCTTTCCTGCAAATGGAAGAACTGAACTGAAAAGGAGTTTAAGGGAATTGAGTCCACAAAGCAGGAAAGGTGATTGTCCACCAGGTTCTGCAAACAAATAGCCGTGTGTCTTAGTAAGCCGCCCAGTGCTGTGCGTCTCGGCATTCTCCTGGAACATCTCCACCTGTGGCTGTGAGGCCCGTGTGTCACCAGCACAGACTCCAGAACCAGACCGCTGGGCCTCACTGTGATGGTTAATTTTAACTGTCAGCTTGACTGGGCTGATGGATGCCCAGAAAACTGGTAAAAAATGATTTCTGGGTGTGTCTGTGAGGGTGCTTCTGGAAGAGATTAGCATTTGAATCAGCAGACTGCATAAAAAAGAACCGTCCTCACCAATGTGGGTGGGCACCACTCAATCACCCAGTGAGGGCTTGAAGAGAAAAAATGGTGAAGAAAGAATAAATTTTCTCTCTTCTTGAGCTGGGACATTCATCTTCTCCTGCCTTTGGATGTCAGAGCTCCTGTCTCTTGGGCCTTCAGGGTCTGGGAACTTACACCATCAACCCCCCTGGTTCTTGCGCCTTTGGATTTGGACTAAATTACAGCACCAGCTTTTGTGGGTATCCAGCTTGCAGATGGCATATTGTGGGACTTCTAAGACTCCACAATTACACGGGCCAATTCCCATAATTAATCCTCTCATTAAATATATGCCATATTGGTTCTGTTTCTTTGGGGAACCCTGACTAATACATCCACTCACTAGCTGGGAACATTCAGAAAATTCCTCCGCTCTTCTGTCTTGCTCTATCCTTACTAAAAAAAAGGACAACAGTCATACCTAAGTTCATAGTTTCTGGGAGAATAAAATAAGTTAATACATGTAAAGTTCTCAAAACAGTGTCTCGTGAGCAAAAAATTGTTCCATCATTATTACACTTTCCTATTTATTTTATGGATTCCTTTGTTCTTTCTCTTAACATGATTTCATGCTTTGCACATATGTATTTACACTACCTTTTTTGAACTAAATAAGATGAACTTACCATCAAATAACTGATACCTGGTATAACTTCTACTAATATGAGCATTCCAAATTAGGTTTTATAAAAGCTACTTCCACAAATAATGTTTGAAAAAGAATTAGGTAATTTATGAAAGATGTGATATGCCTTTTCATGCTTACTAGTCAAATATTTTAAAGAAACAGATCATCTTATTATATATGCAAACCAAATGGGAAGAGCTATATAAAAACCAGCAAAATAAACTTTTCAAAATGAGATATAGAATATTTTAATAATTTATCATGAGTTTTTACATCTTAAAATTGCATTGATTTTATATTTCACTATGAAAAATGTAATATTTGAAATTAATTTATTTAAGAAATAGTTACTGGGTACCTACTATGAACCAGGCACTATCCTTGGCACCAGGAAGATAATAAGAAACAAAATAGATAAAAATCTCTGCCTTTGTGGAGAATGTATTCTAGTTGGCAAAGACAGAATAAAACTCATAATAATATATAAGGCAGAATATATACGAAGTTGGAAGATAACTAATGTTTGTGAAGAAAACTAATCAAAGAGGGGTAGGATAGTCTTAAGATTTGTGTGGGGTAGGGGGCCACTGGGATATAGGGTGTTCAGTGAGGCCAACCCTAGAAAGTGGTCTGTGAAGAAGGGAGAGACGAGGGTAGAGAAAAAACATCAAGGACAGAGGCTCAAAAGAAGCCAGTGTGGCTGGGAGGGTGAGGACAGAAGGGAGAGAGTGAAGGGAGCTGGGCTCAAAGAGCTCAAAGAGGGGCAGGTTCCATGCAGGTCTTATAGGGCTTCGCAGGGGATTAGCATGTCTCTGGTTGAGTGAAGGGCCACTGGAGAGCACTGCCTAAAAAATGACACGATCTAACACAGGTTTTAACCCCATCATTAGACTGCTTTGTGAGACTACAGCGGTGGCAGGGAGAAATGCAGTTAGGGGACTGGACCAGACATCAGCAGCAAGGTGACATGGTCCAACCTGGGTGCATTTTGGAGGCAGAACCAGTAGGACTTGCTCGTGAATGGGGTGTGGGCAATAAGACAAAACGTGGGGAGCCGGGAATGATTGTGAAGTGATAAGCCTGATGTGAAGTAACCGAAAGAAAAGGGAGACTTTGGAAGAAGCAGGCTTTGCGAGGGGACCAGGAGTTCAGCTTTGGAGACATGAAGCTTGACGTTTACTAGACACCCACGTGGAATGGTTGACATTGCAATCAGATATACAAGTCTGGATTCTATAGGAGTGGACTGACCAAGAGCTAGAAAGGAGAGCATAACTACAGGGGAGATTAAGGACAGAGTGAATGTGTCTACACAGGCAAAGGGATTAAAACCCAGGACATTCCAATGTCAACAGCTCAGGGAGATAGGAAACTTCCATGAAGGAAACTGAGATGGAATGGCCAGTGTAGTAGGAAGAGAACCAGTGGAGCACAGAGCCCTGAACAAAAAGCTTTACACTGTTAGTTTCTTATTTGTCTATGAGTGGATTGGTGTAAATTAGTACATTAATTTCTTAAATTTTTATGAAGTATTTAACAATAATGAATTAAAACATTCTATGTAAACTGAGATATTATATACCCCAAATTATCTGTCAGTAGTTTTTATCCTGAAATATGCATATGCTATATAAACTGACAAAAATTAACTTATATCCAGCTACATTTTAAAAATATAAAATTTATCAGTCTTTATTTCATTCTCTGTCCTAAATGGCATTAAGAAAATTTGTCTATTTATATTTTGGAGAATAGCCTGGGAGAGAATGTGCTCTGCCCACTCTTTGATGCTATCCATCCATGGAACCCAAATAGAAATCACACTAACCAACCTCATCAGATGTCATTTAGGAGCAGAGTCGGACAGAAAGTTACAGATAAAGCAGCTTTCATGCTTATTTTGATTCATATTGGTGCAAACACAACACAGTGTAATTCACACCTCATGAAGATTTTGACTAAAAATAATTCTGTCCAGGAAGCCTACATTTTTTGACCAGGAAAAGGAAGTTTGATGTTCAGAGAATTTAATTGCCATTCTCATTTAAAACTGAAGAGAACAAAGGAGGCAGTGAAATGAAATACATGACATATTTTACTGTCCGTATGGGACTATGGCTGTACTCATACACGGGCATGTCTACATTCCCTCGGTAGAGCTACAAATACAGCTGCAAATAATTTGAATTACATTAATCGTTTTTTTTTTTATATACTGCACAGTCTTTTCTGGAAAGCTGTAAAAAATACAGTAAAATTTTAACCTTGCTATCTTCAAGTACGTAATTTCTTGCATTTTATTTTTCTGCTCATATTACCTCCCTAGCATCATGGACCTGAACACGTTATGTTGAGAATCTCTTGGATGGAGGACTAAGACATGCCGGAACTAGGGAAGGACAAAAGCAGTGACACATGTTGAGACTTTTTCCCAGGTGAGTTGAAGCGACTCATCCAGCCATTGTTCCAGTTCTGTCTTTGGCCCTCTGCTTTTATCTGTTTATCTACCCAGCTGTCCATTTAACATTGTTTACTGAGGCATTTACTATTTTCCACACTCTTTTATATTCTTGGGCATACAACAATGAATAAACTTTGTTATTCCAAAGTTTAAATTTTAAGGGAAAAGACAACCAATTTATATTTTTAAAAAGTGAAACAAAAGAAAACAAAAAACAGAAGAACAAGAATATTAACTTGTTCTCAAAACTCAAAGGAGGTCTATGTGACTAGAGGACAATGTGCCAGTGAGACAGCAAAGAGGTGGATGCACCTCCACGTTGATGTCCCCTCCCAGGATGTGGGAACTAAGTAAAGTGATGAATGGGTGGAAGAAATGCAGGTCAGGATCACCCCAGTGTTAGAAGATTATCCTGCAACAGGCTGTCCACTGTGCTTCTTCTACAAATTTCTTCCAGGATCCTCCAGTTCCTGCTGATCTTCCAAGTAAAGCCCAAAGACCTCCTGTGGATTTTGCAGCTATGGTCTTCCAATCACTCTCACCACCTCCTCACCTCCCCAGATTCTGTCCCAAGTCTTCTGATAAATTAAAGTTTTCAGAGTAAGCTAGTGTTGTATAGAACCAACCAATCAGATTTAACAAATTTATGGTTAAATGCATGATCTCCCTGGATTAGAGGAGGGCAGGAGTTAAAGCATGTAGATTCTATCATAGGTTAAGTCAATTTCCATATGAGATATGGTGGTGTGAGAGGGGGGAATCCAGGACAATAGATTGCACTCCCTCCCTGGAAGATAATATTTACCTCCCTCAACAGTGCCAACTCTAGTTCAAAAGCAGATAGCTTCCAAGTTTACATGTTAAACAGTGACCTCTTTCAGGAACAAGAGTTGAATTTCCAACTACTTGCTGGGTGTCTTGGAAAGTCATTTTGGGGCCGGCCCGGTGGCGCACTGGATAAGTGCGCCGCTTGGGAAGCGCGGCGGCGCGAAAGTCATTTTGGGTCATCTGTCTCCTACACCTCTCATATCTTCATAGTGACACTTCTGTCTATTCCCCACTTCAATTTTCTTTAACTGGTGCATTTCTGGTTGTTTCTAACTGATTATCTAGCTTCTGCACTCTGAAAGCACAGTCTTGTGCCTAATGTGTTTCTTTCCTTTCTCCATCATTTCCTGTTTCTTGCCTTAAGCTATGAATAAAGTTCTACTTAAAGCAAAAACTACATGAAGTTACTTTCCACTTCAATATCATTCATGGATTCTCCATGTCCTGTAGAAGTCATTGATTTTATTCATTCATTTATTTGTTTATTTATATTGGAGTCATTTTCTCATAAGAAATCCTATTCAGAAACCCTACAGTAAAGGGGGTGAGTTAGACCTGTTCAGCTACAGCGGGGGCAGACTCCAACCTTGCCCACTGCCTCAGTCTCAGTCCCAAAGAAGCCCTGGGCTTCCTGCTGTGGGATCCCTGAGCCCTGCGTGAGAACTTCTGACCATGCCCACGAGACTACCATTAAGGACTCTGAACTAACTTTGATCATTGTCTACCCTCAGCATACTCATTTCTATCTCCCGATCCTACAGGCCCTCTTTCCCTCCATGCCACAATTCATACCGTTTCTTCACTGAATCCTGTCCCTTCCTCTCAACCTCATTCTTAAAGATGCATCTCAAAAGTTGCTTACCAAGCTTATCAAGTCCCAAATTGGAACCACCTTTTTACATCTTCATTCTCAACCATTTTTCTTGCATCTAGTAAAGCACGTTTTTCAGTGTGATTTTA